ATTGTATCTTTGTCCTCACGGCTGACAACGCATCTGCATTTTAATTCGCAAACGAGGATACATGTAAATGTCTACGAGTCACAGCAAACACTTACCATTAGGTGGATTTGTGCTCGTTTGTCACCCTAATACTATAAAAAAAAATTGTAATTATTAGTGAACTCTTATCAGGAATATCTCCTGTCCATGCTGCCCAGGTTAGTGAATTCTCATAAAGCGGCACTGTTCTGAAAGGCCGGCTACGCTCTTGTAATTTTCGGCAGTCACTTACCAATAGGTAAACCACATGATTTTTTTTAATTAAAAAATTCCACTTTTTTTTATAAATGCAATTTTTATTACTAATATTCCCTTTAGCTGCTCCGGATTAGCTTAAAATTTTTGTGTTAGAAGTGGTTTACGACAGAAGTCGAACAGCGGATTCGAACACACGACCTTTTGAGTTCGCAGGCCGCAAACTGCCATTAGGCTACTGTCGCTTAAATTCCCATCTCTTTTATAAAAAAATCACGTAGAATCAAGTCAGCTGTTAGCTGTAGCTGTTATATAATAGGTATGTATAGAAAAATGAAGTTTTATTATAAATTATTAAATTTAGTATAAAATTTTAATGCAGTTTGTTTTCTCTGTTGCAAGTTTATTAGACTCGACGAAAACATGGAAAATGCAAAATGGAAAAGCATTTAAATTGAACTAACTGGATTTTATTTAGTAAAGTTTGTTTATGAGTTTCAGTGTAGTATTTATTATGTGGAAATGGAGTAAAAATCCTTATTTTGTTTGTGTTAGACTTACAAATTGAATGCATTCACTGAAAATGATGGGAATTTTTTTAATAAGGGTGACAAACGAGCACACATTTCACCTGATGGTAAGTGGATACACATCTGCATCTGCCTTAATTAAGAATCAAAATGCAGGTGCGTTGTCACCCCTGAGGACTGAGATGGAATAGCTCGTTTCCACTAAAATCGATCTCCGGTTCTCTACAGATGCTATTTAACACTGGTATTTTGTGAGAGCGTCGTCCTTCCTCGGTCTGGCCGATTCATACGTGCTACAACTATAATATAGCTGCAGTATGGTTCCACCAAAACGTTTTAACATTTCTAAACGTTTAATGGAAAATCGTTGAAAATAATAAACATATACGATTATAGAACCCCCTCAATTTTTGAAGACGGTTAAACATTCTGTGTATTAACTTCGTAATAAATTATTTAATGACTAGCTTTTCCTCGCGACTTCACCCGCGTGTAAATTTATCACGATTGGATTTCATGTGTTTTAATTTTTTTGCGCGGAACCTTATTATTTATCAAAAAAAAATAGCTTAAGTTACTCCTTATAACATCATCAATGTGCATCAGTATGTGTACACGCCCCTAGTTGCCCCGACAATGGTCGACCATCAGGGGTCCATACAGCTGTAGATTCGACGGACAACTAAGGGTGGGGCTCAAAATGCCGCGTGGAATTTCCTATCACAATAAGCTATATAGAAAATGTTGTATAATACTACAATTTAATGGGGAGGCTAATCAAATAGATATTACTTACCTGGATATGAGGCGACTGCTATCTCAGGGCTCGGTCAGGCCGTAGGTGTGTATGTGTCGAGTATAGTGGTGTTTTGTGGTGTTGGTGATGATAGACCTGACGGGACCTTCGAAGTCGCCAGCAGACCGGACTTCGGCGCCGCTCAAAATTGTGGTAATCTCCCGCGGCATCACCCACCGTCACTTTCTTCCTTCTTCCCTATGACAGTCTATTAACTATACTTCCAGACGCCACTAACACTAAACTAAAGCGTAACACACCTCTAATACCGAAAACGTATCCGAATTATATCAAAGGCCGCACGAGCAATTAATATTGTCAAATCACTTATATACGCTATCAAATTAGAATAACCGAATTCGCGGTAAATTAGACGCGCATAACACAAAATTCAGACGTTGATCGCAGTCAATGTTAACTTCCTAACAATTTGTCAGCCCGGCGTCGAATTCTAGACTTAACAAAGAAACCTTCGTCGTGGCAATATCTGCTAACAAAACCGACTCCAAAAATGGAGGTTTCCCGGGCGACTTTAAAATGTGCTCTCGATAGCACCGTACTGTAGCGACTCTGTGACCTTTACAAGTCAGCGGGCGGAACAAGTGTGAATGCAAATTTCAAAACTTAATTGTTTGGCCTAAACAGTATGTGTGAAAGTCCCGTCAAAATCGGTCCAGCCATTCCGGAAATTAGCCGGAACAAACAGACAGATAGCCAAAAATTAAAAAAAATGTGTCATTATAAGTACCGCATATACTTACATATGAATTTAGTAAAAAACTGTTATTTTGACATTACAAACACACACTCAAATTTTATTTATTTGTATAGGTGTTAACAAAATCAAAAGAACTTCCTTATATCTTATTTAAAGCATAGTAAAACCTAGTTATAATTGATTAATTCATTGCAGTGTTTCAAAAATCCACTATTCTACATAGGTCCTTAGTTTGACTTATACAGCGATATTTGCCACAGTTGCTATGATAAGCAGGTGAGTTAGCAACCGCAGTTGTTATTATTTTGAGTTGTCATCAGGAAGCCCATCTCCTGTTTCGTGTGCCGCCGTCAATACCCACGCCATGGTATGGGTGCTGAAATCTCTTACGCCCCGCCACTACACGGCAAACATCACAAACAACATGTCAAAAGTGAATAACTTAAATTAAAAACTTTCAAAACACGCGAAACAATAAGAGCTGATGATCTTTAAACAGATTTCCTTGCAACATAAGAACACTCTCGATTACCTTTTAATTTAAAAAAAAAACTATCAAATCCGTCCAGGAGCTATGATGCCACACAGATACACACACACACACACACACTACAAACTTAAAACACGCCTCTGTTTTCCTCAGACGACAAAAATAAACACATCTTTAAACTGTAATAACTCTATGAGTAAGTGAGAGATTTTGAAATAAGAATTACTCGTTAAATGTTACACGGAGATTTCATTTTAATGAACGCTACCTACATTCTTCTCATTGTCGACGATTCTGCATCTTTTTAAGTATGCAAAAGCTCACTCAAATTCATATTACTTAAGCCGTTACTTCGAATGTATTCATAAAATGTCTTTATTGTTTTCCTTGTACAATTTTCATATTTAAAGACGTTATGTGAACATAAAAATATCTGAAATAATTGTCGAGGAAGTACAATATATTCTTATCGTACCGTATCATCGTATCAAAAGGAAGCAGCTTAAATAAAGAGAAGTACACATTCAATGTTTTCATTTAAATGTGTTTAGTTCTTTACACAGAGAGTACGTAGCATTAAAACCATCGCTCGTTATACATCATTTATTTTACTGAACTGGAATTATGACGGCGCGTCGATTACGCAGTAGGGATCCAAGCTCAAATAGATTCTTTTGTAAATTGTGGTAGAGATTGTCTAATTTAAATCTGCACGCGTTTCCTTTATAGTTTTAGTAGTTTTATCACTTACTTATATCGTGTTGAATGTAATAAAAATACTAAAGCCTACTAAACGCATTATAAAAGGTGGCGCCCTTGTATTTTTTTGGTTGATTTTGTCATATTTACCGAATTATGAATCAGTAATCTAAATCTACGCGCTCTTTATATTGATAAAGGGCGCGCGAATTTAGATTTACATTTTGCTTGCTTTGTAGGTTTTTATATTTTTGTTACATTTAATATGATTTATGAGATAAAAACTACCAAAAAAATAATGGAAACGCGTGCAGCTATAAATAAAACGATCTTTAAACTTAAATATTACAAAATGATAGAAGTTATTGTAAAATGAATTCAGTTCAAAACTCAAGTTTGTATTTTGATTGAGGACAAGTTTTAATTTTCTCTGATTTATTTGAACACATTTCGACTGTACGTTGTGTGTAAGTTGGAATCCAAATTTGTACCTTTCTAACCCTGTATACCTCGTTATTTATTCAAAACTACACTCAACAAACGCCCATTTGCTATTTGACTATCACTATATTCCTATTTTACTTTGTCCGTGTATGTCGAATGTCACGATCATTTGTAAAGTACTTCGTATTCAAATTTACTAACGCCTAATGTTATTACATTTGTATTGTTTGACTGTTTCATCCTGTGACCTGTGTTCAAGATTTCACTGCGATATTCTGTGACCTCCTCGACAAGTTATCAGGCTGTCTCGTTAATAATTGTATCCATTTCATCTTTCATCTGAGCTAGTTTACATGAATCCAAGGCGCATTATGCGTCTTGAATTAATTTCATTTCATTTCATTTCATTCATAAAAACATTCTTATTAAGAATTAAGAAAGCATATTATAAGTTCGATAACTATTTAAAAAATAAGAATGCATGGACATAGCAAGCTTACCTTTTTTACTTAAGCATATATTTTAAACACAAATTGTAAGTGTTGAGAAAAATTAGTCTACTTGTTCTTACCACTTCTTCCCTGATTTCAAGGGCCCGGTAAGATGTCCGCGCCGCTTCGTCTTAGCGTTTTAAGTATTTACTATTTAAGTAGATGTAATTTAACTTGTATAACAATTATCATGTATTAAGTGTAGATACTTTTGATTTGTTAAGCTAAGTAATAATACTAAATTTCACCGTAATTGTTTACATTTAAGGTCGATATTACATTCTTAAAAATTTGTTTGTGCTTCTACCAATAGCATAACGTTATGTTTACATACGTAGTACTGGCAATAGCCAACGACTGACCGACCTTCTCGAATTAATCTGTTAGCACATCCTATTTACTAGTTTAGGATAATTGTGTACAAGTTAAATAGTACCTACATTAAAATATTAGATTACGTTTATTAAAACCAACTTCTCAATTAAATGACATTGTGTAACAAAACAACTTTACCTCAAAAAAAAAAAAATAATACTAAACTAAAACTATTACTAAATTAAAATAACTAAAACTAAACCTTAAAAATATAATAAAATAACTAATTAAATAAGAGGCCTGGGCCTCTTGGCAGGGTGCCCATCACGCAGGCAGCATTCCCGCGTTGAACTGCGATTGCAATTCTTTGCGCGAGAAAGCCGCCTGCGCGAGGGTCGCCTGTTGCCTCCCTCAACCTTTTGCTGAGCTCCCTGTGGAGTTCCAGCGCACCTTTGCCCCAGGGACCTAGTGTCTCGACGCCGAAAGCAAAAAACTGATATTGGGCGCCGAGACAGCTGTATTTAGAGACCTTGAGGCGTTCCCGGGCGTCCGCCGCCGCCCCCGCACGTTTGGTAGTTGCTGGTAGATAGGACGCCGCCAGGGTGTCTGTACAGGTGGCGTCCCACACCAGCGCACGGCCCGACTTCCAGGGTATGAGCGACATTCCGTCAGGGCGCTTGCCATCGCTCCGCACAATCTGGGGCTCCAGAGCGGCGGGAACGTTGGCACTGACGAGCGCCCTTCTGAAAATGTCGTTGAGAGCAGCGTGGCGGGACAGGCGGCCGGCGCCCGAGGTGCAGGAGAGGCCATGGTGGCCGAGTCGGTCCACTGGAGCCCCACAAGAAACACAGTTGTGACCTGTGCAGATCCCAGCTCCCAGCCGGAGACCGACGGCTATGCGTAGAGTGTCCGGGTTGATAAAAGTCCCAGTGTTGGGCGAGGGATATGCCTGGAGCCAGTAACCAGATTCTGGCTTGGACACAGCTAACAGCCTGGCCCGGTCCCTGCCAGTTGAAGGCTCTATTAAAGTTTGTAAGGTGGCGACGGACGCTATTGTATCCCAGGCCCTTTGTTTATGTGGTTTGGATGGGAGATTTGGACTCGGTCCAGCTAGCCAAGCATTCGTGGCCTCGTCCAAACATGCAATCTTGCAGTTAATGCCCGCTGGGGCTTTTAATATTCTACCTGCGAGATCTAGCGTGCTGTGGATTGAAGACAGGAATGCAGGCAAAGCCACACTTAAAATTTTGCGTGTTCCCAGGCCGCCGTTCCTTATTGGTAAAGCGGCTTGGGTCCAAGCCTGTTCGCTCAAGTGAATGTTCAGGATGTTTTCAATTTTGGATTTCATTAGAGTGTCAATAGGTGTGATCAAATGGGGGAATTTCCAAATGGGGCAACAGCGAAGCATGTAAGTGAATTTAGGGACGAACAGACAGAATTTTAAAATAAATAAAGCAGAGTGGCTACTAATTTTGAGAAGGCGGTCCGAATACTTGCTGAAGTTTGTTGTTGATTTATTTAAGAGAAGAGGAATGGCCTCCTCAAAGATGGGGGAGCCGAGGAGGTGCAGACTGTCCTTCGTTACTATTTTAATGTTAAGAGCAATGTTGTTAAAATTTTGAGCGATCTGGGAAGCGGTTAGTGGATTTACTTTGTCCGAAATATATAATTCAGATTTGTCATAATTTAATTCTAAACCAATGCGATTGAAATGCTGTTTAACATGCACCAAATCAGCTAGGACTGTCTGCGCGTCTCCGGCCAAGGTCCCATCGTCGAGGTACCAAATATTTAATTTTGAATTTAGGGAGTGGATTATCGGATTTATTGCCAAACTAAATATTGCTGGACCGAGGGGATCACCCTGCTGACAGCCTACGGCCGAAATAATCTCATTGGATTTATGAACTAGTTTTGAGGGGCAGTGGTAGCACTGGAGAAGGAAGTTATAAATTTCCGGGACATGTATTTTAATTTCTTTTAGCAGAGTGTCCCTATTGACCGAATTAAATGCGTTTTTTAAGTCTAATTTTAGAAGAACCTCGCATGAATCACTTTTAAGGAAGGTACGTACAGCGTGGACTGCTGCCTCGCAACCTCCACGCGATCCAAATCCGACTTGTACTGGTTCAAAGAGGGCCTGTAATTTTGTTCTAGTGAGCCGGACGCAGATCTTGGCTGCTAAACGTCGGAATGTAGAACCTACTGCGATGGGGCGCACGCCACCATCCTTTTTTGTCAAGGCAATAAGATTTGCTCCATATATCAGCGGCGTCACATCCGGGCAAACATCTCCCATAAGCATGAGATTGACCAGTTTTGTGAGGCTTGTGGTCAACTGTTCACCAGCTACACCAGAGCCGTAGCTGGTAAGGTCAATCAGATGCTGTGGGGATATGCCGTCAAGACCAGACGCCGATCCTTTTGGAAAAGAGGCGAGGGCCGTTAGAACGTCTCTAACCGTGGCGTGGAGGCAGCCTGGGGGGTCAGATGGAGGGTCTACAAAAATCGGGGTGGAAGGGCCTGGGGGGTGTTTGGACTGTAATGCGGCTTTGGTCTCCGGCGTGTCGGGAGCTAAGGTGTCGTTTGAGAACAAAAGGCGTGTTGCTCCTTTGAGATCACCGTCGTGTATTTTATCCTCGACCTTCCCAAACAAGTCATACTTCTTTCTGTGGGTTCCAGACGAGGGATCGCAAATAGGTATAGACGGATTTAAAGTGTTGTTTTTTATTTTTTGCGTTAGGGAAATATTACTGTTGGATTCATCTGAGACATGGAGAATTTTAAACGAAAAGGTAAGGAGGTCATGCCAAGAATTACTATTGTTGTTTCTAACGCAATTATTTATTTCGGCCGCTAATGCCTCTGAAACCGTCGACCGGGCACCGCGTGGAATACGTTTTATAATGGGAGTTGACTGCTTGAGTTGGCTGAGGAGAGTCTGAAGACAAGTGTCGGGGGTGGGAGGTAATGGAGGATGGGAGCACGGAGCCGGGGTGTGTGATGAAGATGGAATAGGGGTTATACTCATATTCCTCATATTACTCATATTCCTTCGAAGTTTCAATTCTTTGTACCCTATTGTACAATACGTATTATTTCATCATATATTTTTTAATTATGAAATATAAATATATTTTTACGAAATATGTAATGATATATAAAATACATACTGCCATCATATAAATAAACGAATAAAAACATTTAATTCGAGGAGTAAATCCCATATCAATTTGTTAGTAAGGATTAATGCTAAGTGTTAGTAAACCTAAAATTACTTAAAATATTATTAAGTACGTACTGTTATATACCATTAGAATATTAAAACTTTTAATATTCATAATCATATCATCATTATAATTGTACCTAGCTTACCTTATGTTTAAGACGTGGATAACTATAATTGGCATACTACATTTAGTAAATTTAAAATTGTCATTAGCAATATATACGCTGTTGTTATCAAAAATAAAATAAAATAAAAATTCTCTCTCTCTCTCTTCGTCCGATGGGTAGGCTACGACGCTAGAGCGCTTACGACCAGGCAGTCAAATTCTTCAGCATACATTAATAGCCACCCGGTTTTTATAAAAGAGAGGGCAAATGAGCATACGGCTGACGTGAAAGTAAGTAATCGCTGCTGCTCCTCAATATTTACATCACCAGGGAAATCGTGGGTGATGCCACTTTTTAAGAAAGAAGTGGAGTCTTCTCTGGAAGGTCTCTAGTTATATAGGTCGGGAAATAACTTCGCAAAAAGTCCTGATGGCGAAATATGACGTTTTTCGTGCAATGTTTAGTCACATGAGTTCGGGGGTGAGAAAATCAGCTTGTTCGATGATTTCCAAAGAACGCTAACATGGATTGGGGAAGGGCGGCGGAACCGTTCTTGTTTCAAACCCATGTAATATATTTGAGGAGGTCTGTTCCTTGTACTGGGCACATACCTTTTTTATTTCTAAGACATAACATAAACATAAAAAGTGCCATATAGTGGTGGTGTAAGAGAATCATTCCCTTTTCGTCGCATGGGTTGATCCATAGACGCTTTTTACTGGTCTGTCAGGCATATCCCATAGTCCCGTCTTATTTTCCTAGCTTTAATATATTAAGTTTATTGATATTAAGTAGTATGCAAACCGGATAAATCAATTTTCTTAATTTTAATAAGTCATTGTCAACATGAATTTATTGAAAACGTTTTTTGTTTCGCTAATGGCACATCAATTGCGGTGTCTTGATGATTGGAAGAATGGATTTAAATAAAGGGGAGGTTTTAATTTAGCCTTATTTTATTCAAAAGTAAAGTTAAAAAGTTAAAGTTACAGCCTATATACGTCCCACTGCTGGGCACGGCCTCCTCTCATTTCTGAGAGGGTTTTTACGGCAAGGAAATGTCCGCCGCGCTGCCCTAATGCGGGTTGGCGAACTTAACATGTCTTCGAAATATTTTTTCTTATTTCTCAGACGTGCAGGTTTCCTCACGATGTTTTCCTTCGCCGCCAAGGACGTGGTAAATCAGCACTTAAAATTCCAATTAAAAATTTCTTTGGTGTCGGCGGGGATCGAGCCCGGGTTTCTCGCGTAGTTTGAAACTTACAGCGAGTGCTAACCATCTGAGCTACCACGGCTCGATTAATAATATTATTAATAAAGAAACATATAAAAAAATATTTCTTTGACACAACGTGGTCAAGCCATAACACCAAAATATGTCAACCGACAGCAACACTACTTATCTCAATGTAACACAGGGCAGCCTCTCAGCAACACCGATTCTCCTCGCCTGCACTAGAAGAATTACAACAACGAACAGAACCACGACATTATCTCAGCACTCGTCGAATGACCACACTCGTTGAATGACTTAAGCGGAATCTCTCGCGCACGGCACCTACAGTGAACTTTATACTACAGACACAAGAGGGGGTTTCTCGATATACCCTCCATTCTACCTCGATCCAACCGGGTATTTTATAGACGCTCCGACATATAGATATACCGGGTGTTTGTGAAACGCTCCCGAAAACGAAGGCAGATGATAGTAGGTACTACACCTTAGCACATGGGTCACAAATAAATTTGATCACGAGGAAAAAAAATCATCTTTTCACAAATTTTTATTAATTTTATTCACGCTCCATCATGTTAGTACAGCTAAATGAAATGATAATTTCATAAAAAAATCATGAAAATACTTAAACAAAAAACCAACAGTGAAACTTAAAACAAACATCAGCTGACAATAGGGTCAATATCCTCGCGGGCGCCGAACTCTTATCGGTCCCGTCATGTAAAAACGCTGGCCTTGAACCTGGGCACTGAGTGATTTATCGATCAAATTGACTGAGTACCCAATTAGGTACGTTTATTAATTTCAATAATTTTTTGTAGTAAAGAACTGCTTGTTGCATCAGGGTACAATTGATTGTGTAATTATATTAAAAATGACAACCACAACTTTTAAATTCCATATGAAGACTAGTCGTAGACTTTTTATGATGAACTCTTTCTTCCAGAAGCGGCCCCACAGGAAGTGGACCTGGTCGAGCCCCGACGGTTCGACAAAAAATGAGATTGACTTCATTATGACGACCAGACGACAACTGTTCAGTGATGTCTCCGTGATCGCGAGGGTGAAAACTGGTAGCGATCACCGAATGGTTAGAGGCACACTGAACCTAAACGTTAAGTTGGAGAGGTCTCGTCTAATGAAGTCAACGCTCCGTCCCCCTCGTGCTCTGTTCCAAAGTCCCGAAACCTTTCAGCTCGAGTTACAAAACCGTTTTCAGTGCCTAGAAGACTGCAATGAAGTGGACGATATGAATGACAAGCTCGTGGAAACTGTCCATGCGGTCGGAGCTAAGTTCTGCAAGACCCGCCGCAGAAAAACACAAAAACACTCCGATCACACTCTTAGTCTCATGGCTGTTAGACGGGAGATGCAGCTACATTCTTCAACAGACTTGACAGCATACAGGAATCTGAACAGACAGATCTCCAAATGCATGCGGCGGGACTTACGCAACTTCAATACAGCTCGTATTGAAGAAGCGATCGAGCGGAACCAAGGCTCCAAAGTCTTTGCCAGAGATCTGTCTGCCAGAAAGAGCCACCTGTCAAAGCTGAAGACAGAATGTGGCAGCATCGTTTCCGGGACACCTGAGATTTTGAGTGAGATTGAGAGGTTCTATGGGCAGCTGTACACGTCATCGTTGGAGCCACACGCAAGTGTGAGTAACGATCCAAGAGCGAGTCTCATCCGACACTATTCCGAAGATATCCCGGACATCAGTCTGAGCGAGATTAGAATGGCTCTCCAGCACCTTAAAAACGGTAAGGCCCTAGGCGAGGATGGAATTACAGCGGAGCTTCTGAAAGCGGGTGGAAGACCGGTACTTGAAGTCCTTCAGAAGCTCTTTAATTCCGTCCTCCATGGTGGCATTACACCGGAGGCGTGGAGCAGAAGTGCGGTGGTCTTGTTCTTCAAGAAAGGTGACAACGCTCTCTTGAAGAACTACAGACCGATTTCCCTTCTGAGCCGCGTCTACGTGCTGTTTTCGAGAGTCATTACGAAAGGTCTCGCGCGCAGACTTGACGACTTCCAGCCTCCCGAACAAGCCGGTTTCCGAAAGGGCTTTAGCACCATAGACCACATACATACCCTTCGGCAAATTGTACAGAAGTCCGAAGAGTACAATTTGCCACTATGTCTGGCGTATGTGGACTATGAGAAAGCCTTTGATTCCGTCGAAATTTGGGCGGTGCTGCAGTCCCTTCAGCGGTGCCAAGTTGACTGTCGGTATATCGAAGTGTTGAAGTGCTTGTACAGTAGGGCTACGATGGCTATCCGAGTACAGAACCAGAGTACGAAACCTATCCAATTGCAGAGAGGTGTAAGACAGGGTGACGTCATATCCCCGAAACTCTTCACCGCTGCATTGGAAGACGTTTTCAAGCTTCTGGACTGGAAAGGATACGGTATCAACATCAATGGCGAGTACATCACTCACCTTCGATTTGCCGACGATATAGTCCTTATGGCACAATCGCTGGAGGACCTAAGCACTATGCTCAATGACCTCTATAGTGTTTCCCAACGGATAGGTCTTAAGATGAACATGGACAAAACAAAGATCATGTTCAATGTCCATGTCACACCTATGCCGGTAGTTGTTGGGAGCACTAAGCTCGAAGTTGTTGACGATTATGTTTACCTGGGACAAATAGTACTACTAGGTAAGTCCAACTTCGACCGAGAGGTCAATCGACGGATTCAACTCGGCTGGGCAGCGTTCGGGAAGCTACGACACATCTTCTCGTCAGACATACCTCAAAACCTGAAAACGAAATTGTACAACCAGTGCGTGTTGCCAGTGATGACTTATGGAACTGAGACGTGGTCCTTCACTGCTGGCCGTATGAGGAAGCTCAAGGTCGCTCATCGAGCTATGGAGAGGGCTATGCTCGGAGTTTCTCTGCGTGATAAACTTAGGAATGAGGATATCCGCAGTAGAACCAGAGTAACCGACATAGCCCAACGGATTAGTAAGCTGAAGTGGCAGTGGGCCGGCCATATAGCTCGAAGAACCGACAACCGATGGGGAAGAAAGGTTCTCGAGTGGCAGCCTCGTACCGGTAGGCGAAGTGTAGGGCGTCCCCCCACGAGATGGAGTGACGACCTGGTAAGACATGCAGGAAGTCGATGGATGCAGGTGGCTCAGGACCGTGCTTTGTGGCATTCTTTGGGGGAGGCCTATGTTCAGCAGTGGACTTGTGAAGGGCTGTAATGATGATAATGATGACGACTAGTCGTAGGGATAAAACTTTAAAATTAATTAAACGTTGGCGATGTCTTAACATACATAACACTTTAACGGTGTGTGGAAGGTTCCAGTGCTTCAAGGACTTTACATTGTGCGTATTTGTTTTAGTGTGTTTGATAAATAATTTTAGTTTTTGAGACAGTTCCGTGTTGACTATCACAAGAGACAGTTCAATTGTTTTGTTTATTAAATTATTGTCGTTATT